CTCAAGACAAAAGAAAAGGGAGGGAAAGGGGTTTGCTCCTTTTACCGTTGGAGGTGTTTTCTGCCCCTGGCTTGTTTTACTCTTACTCCGGGTGGGTTGTTTTCTCTTAAATAGCTAACTTCGTCAGGCAGGGGGGAACCCTTTATTGGGGGTGGCCCAAAATTGCCCAAAGAGCCGGGTTACTTTTCCCCGCTTTACCCGGCGTCCAAGGTTGGGATTTGCGGGGGGGAGACGGGTCCCACCACATGGGGAAAGGGGCCCCTCTTTTTTAGGAAAATTCCCGCTCCGGCGTAAAATGGGGGGAAAAAATTTGGGCTATTAAAAAACCCAGGGGGAATTTTTTTTTGAATAGTTTTAATTTCCCCAAACCCGGTTTTTTTTCCCCCCCCCCTTTCAACTGGGTTTTTGGAAAAATTAAACCCAGGGGTGTGGAAGGAGGGGGAAAGGTTTTTTGGACCCCCCCCCCCCACAAAGCAAAAAACTTTTTTTAAAATTGGGCCGGGGGGGGGGGGAGTGGGGTGGGTGTGGGTTAATGGTTTTATGTGTTTGGGGGGGGGGGGGGGGGGGGGGGGCCGGCACGGACAAACTCCAATGGCGAAGTGTACGCTGTTCAAAGTCACAGATCTTTCAACCAGCCATGCATTTTGGCACAGCGGTGTAGGAGTAATGGTCATCAATGCCTTAGATGTGTGTCATTGAGCATCACGGCCAAAGGAAGGCCTCAGAACACAGCATAGATATTCTACACGCAAGTCAATTCTACGTGTGATTATTGCACTTTTCTCACAGCGGGGTAGGAGTAATGGTCATCTAGTACACCAATGCCTTAGATGTGTGTCATTGAGCATCACGGCCAAATGAAAGGCCTCAGAACACAGCATAGATATTCTACACACAAGTCAATTCTACATGTGATTATTACACTTTTGATTCAGAAATGTCTGAGGTGCTATGGAAGAGCCTTCTTAGTTGATCGCACGCGTCCGAATAATAGCGATCTCGAATGACATTCACACCAAACGGGTTTTTGTCCCAGGCATGCGCTACTCCCTCGATCATTGTGTATCTTACGTATTTCCCCAGGGCCGTAAGTCGATCTTTAAATCTCTCTGCTTCGTCCCTTAGCTCATCCCATTCGCACGTGTACATAACTACGGTAGCGGGTAACCCTTCATGCAAAATGACATCGCTGGCTGCAGCTGGAGACAAATAAGGGTCACTCACGTCTACTGTTTTCGGGGGATAGAGGTAGCTAGCGTCAAATAGTCTAGTGAAGAAAGCAGGCAGTTCCTTGTCCGGGCGGATGTTGGTTTTGCGGCGCTCGATACGTGGACGAGTGAAATCTGTGCTGGGATACCATGCAATGATCCCTTTAATGATCGAGGAGAGTTCTGGCATGTCAGTTCTGCGACGGATCAATTCGACCTGTAAGCGGAGGAGACTTGTGAAAGCCAGATTCCCACCGGCGGAAAACCCGCTAACAGCCAACTTGGACGGATCCAGTTTCAACTCTTTGGCATTGAGAAGGAGCCACAATATTGCATCTGCGCCATCTTCCACTGCGGTCGGAAAAGGGGCCTCTGGCGCGCAGCGATAATCGACGCTGACGACAATACAGTTCAGATTCTGTACCACGGTGGTTGCCCACCGACTGTCGTCTGTAGCGCGGCCAATGGTGAAGCCACCACCATGGAAGTTAACTAGGACAGGGTATCTTGTAACATCGTCCGACCCATTGAATCGCAGATGGTAGTCATTGGGAGTGTAAAAGACCAGGTCGATGTAGCCCTCTAGGGGAGACAAGGTGGATTTGATTCTTCGGTTAAACGATGGGGATATGGGGCGGGGCAATGCGCGACGGTGGAAGAAGAAACCAATATCTGTTAGGAAGCGCCAGCACCATGCTTCCAGGTGCAGAACCCATCTAGGCCGTAACATGTGCAGGCTGTACACGTCCGCTCGGGCGGATTTCGTTAATAAAAGGTCTCGTGCAAAAGAGGCCTTCTTTGGCTGCGTCGATCTGAATGACGTAAGCGCATCCGTCATTGATGGATGACGCTTCGTAATGGATTCAGTTTTCCACACTGCACGTTTTTGCACCATGTCTTATAAATGTCAACAGCTCTCCTTCTCGCTCTCCTCACTTACTCCAATCCTGCCAACCTACTCAAACCATGCCAGATAGTCCGAAAGACGACAAAAATCACAACGGCGACGCTTCCCTTGATTCCCAAGAGCAACTTGTACCACGGTTTCACTCAAGCAAGCAAGCAAAAAGGAAGCTCAATATCCTGCTGACAAACGGCCGGTTCCCAGTGTCCCTTGACCTCGCCCGTCAACTCAAAGCCAGCGGCCATAAGGTCTACGTTGTGGACCCCATGAAGTACCATGTTTGCAAATTCTCGAGAGCCGTCAAGAAATCCTGGCATGTCCCTGCACCTCACGTCGACCCAGCAGGCTACGTCAAAGGCGTAAAGAAAGCGATTGTGGAGGCCAATATTGACCTTATCGTTCCTTTACACGAGGAGGTATTCCATGTGACACAGATCTGCAAGGGCAACCCAGAAATCATCGGTAAACTCTTTGCTCCGTCATTCGACATGCTTATTTGCCTACACAACAAATGGTACTTTCACAAAATTCTCCGTCGATTCAATCTCGATGCTCCAGAAACATGGTTATGTCGATCAGTGGAGGATGTACAGAATCTCGATCGTAGTTCTGACCTAGCATTGAAACCCGTCTTTGGCCGCGCCAAATCCAACCTCTACCATTTGAAGGCCAACCACCCACTCCCCGACAATATTCTCATAGGGCCCGATAATCACTACGTTGCTCAGGTCTGGATCTATGGAAAGCAATTTTGCACGTACTCTGTAGCGCGGGACGGCAAGATGCTCGCGCTTGCGATATATCCCGTACAGGACACCGTGGATGGATCATCTTGTGTTTACTTCAAATCCATCGATCATCCTGGTATTCGGTCGTATGTCGAGGTTCTCATACAGAAACTGGGATATACCGGACAAATTGCGCTAGACTTCATTGAGACAGATTCGCGGCTTGTTGCTATCGAATGTAATCCGCGCGCCACGTCTGGCATCCATCTCTTTAAGCAAAACGAGGGGCTTGTAAACGCGCTCACCAGTGCAGTGGATACCAGTTCTCCGTTGGAATCATTTTCATTTACGCTGGCCAAAATTGGAGCAAAACGCCAGCTATTTCCCGGCATGGTAATGTGGCAGCACGAAGGAGTGTCTCTGAAGCAGTATCTTCGCCATCTCGCAAAATTAACAACTACGCGGGATGTGATATTTTCGTGGCGCGATCCAATGCCGAGCCTCATGCAGCCGTTTTTGCTGACGAGTTATTATGAGATTTGCAGGGAGAGAAAGATGAAGCTTGGTGAAATGTTCCAGTGGGATCTGACGTGGGAGCCGAAGGGAGAAGAACTTCGACAAGTGGAAAGGGAGATGGAGGTGTGGGACGCGGAGGGTGGAGCCGCTCGCACTGGAGGATTGCAGGGGGATGGGAATCAAGCGATAAGCATGGATGGCGCGACACTCCCATAGGTGCTACATTGGGCAAGTAATACCAACGAAGTAGGACACGGTCGAAGGGTGGAAAACAGTTACTTAATGCCGGATCACATATATGTTGAAACTTAAAAAAATCTAGCGTGATATGAGCGAAAGTCAGCCGATCTTACCGTATTAGCGACATTGGAAATATTAATGTGGAGGTGATTGCAAATGGCACTAGGACCCATTATTATCCGGATTAATCCGGTTAATCATATCGCATAATCAGCACCCCCTCTATCACTCAGATTGGTGTGGCATGCTAATGTAACTTTTTTTTTAAACTGCGATGTGGCGCATGCCAAAGGTCTATAAAAGGGGGGCCTTCCCTCTTTCCTCTTTACCCATCCTCGACTCGCAAGCATCTGCCCAACATATCTCAGTCCATCATCATGAGAATGCCGCTCTGGTGTCGAGGACCTCGTCCGCCCGACAAATACAACATAACCCCTCGCAAACACTATTACTACTATACTGCTACGATCGCAGGTATGCATTATCTTTGTATTTTCCCACGCATATTCCGAGTCTAATTCTGGTTTAATTAGTATCTGAACATCCTCGGACGAAGAATTTCGGAATCAAAGGGCTTAGTAGGATTTCTCTCGTGGTGGTGGGCTTAGTTACCCGGTTAGAAACAACCGTAATGTATTGCATGTGCAATTGGGCCTAGTGGTAGTTAGTTAGTGGAATCGTGCTGCTTTGCACGTACCCCAGTTCAACCCAGGCTGGAACCTGTAGCGAGTTAGGATAGGGGTGGGACTCGTTTGCAGGATAGGTTATGAAGGGTTGGACAGGCTGGCTAATTGTAAATTAGAACCGGCTGTAGTGGGTTGGAGGGAGAATTTTGTCCCTAGTGACATTTTCTACCACCTGCACACTAATGTAGACCGTTCATTCTTCAGAAAAAAAAAAAAAATCGTCACCGCCAGCATCCAAACCTTATCACTAAGTGCTTTTCAATATAAATGGATGCATAAGTCACTGGATACAATGGATAGTAGCGTATATTGCCAAGGAGATCCCAGTACATTCGTCTCGCATCCAGCATCCAAAGGCGACAGCATGACACGGCTTATTTATGGGGGACGTTGAGTTTAGGATACCGTATGGCACTGTCAGTAGTGTATTGGCAAAAACAAATGTCAACGCCTCGTACACCAGGGGAATGAACCGGCGACAACCGGTTCGGAAAAGCTAGCTAACTACTACTTGGCAATTATACACGCAATACGCAACGGTTGGTTGTAACCGGATAATTGTCCACTACCACACGCGGTCCCTGCTAGGCTCTGGTCTGGAACTCTTGATAGCAGACTCTTGCATCCAGGAGCGAATCGACTGGGCAGTGTCACAAGCCAGAGAATCTTCAGTGACAAGTGCTTGGAGACTAAAAAAACTGCATGTCAGTGACAGAATGACAGAATGAAAAGAAATGCTGTTGGTATATACCAACCAAGCTCAACAAATGTGGCAGCATAATAGCAGCTTTGTCAACCTATCCAATTGGTTGCAGCTGGTTCTGATCACTGTTGTCAGGTGGATGAGGTCCTCGGCACCAGAGCAGAATTCTCATGATGGACTTGAGAGAGTGCTTGAGCATTGGGCAGATGCTTGCATCGAGGGATAAAGAAACAAGATGGGGGGAAGGGGACTGTTGGAATTAATTGATCGATTTCATCGAGATTGTCATGGGACAGTAACTTGAATAACTAGGCGAGCTATTAACCTATCGACAAGAGCAAAACGGTTCTAGAAAGCCCTGCAAGCTTGTCAAAACACTTTCTTAGGTAGTTGTCTTAGTGTAGAGGTGACAGAAACTGGCACTAGCTACTACACCAGGGATAAACCGGCGACAACCGGTCCGGAAAAGCTAACTAACTACTTGTAGGCAGTTATACACGCAATACGTAACGGTTGGTTCTAACCGGATAATTGCCCACCACCACACGGTCCCTACTGGGCCTTGATCCGGAGCATTCAAGCCAGACTCTTGCATCCAGGAGCGAATCGACTGGGCAGCGTCACAAGCCAGAGGATGTTCAGTGACAAGGCTTGGAGACTAAAAAGACTGCATGTCAGCGAGATGAATGACAGAATGAAAAGAAATGCCATTGGGTACATACCAACCAAGCTCAACTAATGTGGCAGCATAATAGTTCTTTCGCCAGCCCTTGTATTGTATCTGAATAGAATGTCATTTTCAGCCCATGGACTTCAAAAGTGACGTAGTCATCATATTCTCATCTGCCCTTTCATTTGTTGACTTGTTCGATAGTCTTTGCCAGTGGACTTGTTTGGGGCGCGATAAACACATCTGATTTGTCGGCGCTATACAGTACTAATGATCCAACACGTGTTTTAAAGACAGAATATTTGTTCAAGTGGTGACTGTTGGAATTAGCTGATTGATTTCATCGGAAATGTCATGGGATGGTAAATTGAAAAAGTTAGCGAATTATTAACATATTGACAAGACCAAAGTGGTTCTAGAAAGCCCTGAATCCGCGCTACAAGCTTGTCAGAACACACGTCGTTCGGTTGGTGTCGCCTTTCCTTATACCAATTGATGGCTTCAGGATCTATTTCGTCTGCATCTTTTGTCTAAAATAATCTCGCTAGTCGTGGAAATGGATGGCTTTTTGGGGATGTGATTAAGTGAAAATCAAAAAATCATGTACAAAGTGACATAATGATGAGGCATCATCTTCTACTCCTACTATGTATTCTACAATAACTCTCTATGAGGATTGCTTTTCATCTGTTACTTCTATTCAAGAGATCATTGAATTCTTGATAGCACGGCGTATTGTCCGCAACCACCCGCCCTTTGCCTTGCTCCTCTTCACAAACTCGAACTCGTCGTCTATTTTGTGAGTTGGGAAGGCTAAGGAGAGATCTTCAGCCAACGCAGCTGCATCTAGAATCCGGTCAGCCAACTGCTTGATGAATCCGGGTGTTTGAGGGATCTGATGTCCGCTGTCATGCGTGACCACATGTCGTAGCTCTGGTTCGTAGCGACATTCGACTTTCATGCTTTTTCGGAACAGGTAGTCCTTGGAGCTAATAACGTGGACGGAGGGAAGGCGCAGGTATCCTCCTTCAAAAGGACGTCGAAGCCATGATGAGGCACCAGGAGAAGAAACCTTCACGGTACATGCACTGATCAAGACACTGAAATTCCATTTTCGGGCAATGCGTCCTTGTGTGCTCAGACGATCTACCAGCTCCACAATGCTGGCTCCTTCCGAGAATCCTAAAATTCCGTCAAATTGCCCTCCGATCGCGTCCATCTTGTTTATGAGGTGGTTCACGGCCGCCATGGCGCTGCGTTCGCCGACATCATATGAGGAAGCTGGCAGCCAGCGGAAGTAGGGGCCATCAAAGTACTTTGAAATATCTGGAGGGAAAAAGAGAGACAGAGTCAGTAGGTAGCCATTGACCTTTTTTGGTGTTCCCACACTTACAGGACGTGTACTGTTTCCGTGGTCCATCGACAAAGTAGAACTGGACTTGGTCTTGCAGTTTCTGTTGAAGGGCTTGCAATTGAAGGGATAAGATTTTCCCACTCGTTTCCGAGCCATGCAAGCACAAGACACGCAGTTTCTTTGCGCCGGGCGACGCTCTGGTTAGAACGTTTGGTTCGGGTTTCTTATGAGGCTGTTCTAATTGCGTCGTGTAGCTGGACGGGATTGCTGTCACCGATGATGAGATCTTTTTTGGAGTTGATCTCGAGGGACCGCTGTTCAACAGCTGAGTTGCTGCCTTCGCTCCAATCGAGTCAGGTGCGAGTGCTGCCAGTGTGGGTTTCTGGTACACGTCCGCGAGAGTCAATTTGATACCCTGCTGACCGGCTGCTAGTATCATCCGAACCGCAGACATTGAGTTACCGCCCAACTCAAAGAAGGAAGTTTCAGGCCTAATGCGATCCATGTCGACCTTGAGTATCGTCGACCAGATTTGCGCGAGCAGCTGCTGTCGAAAATCTCTCAACGTGTTCGTCATGACGGAATCAAACGTGCTGGATTGCTGGTTCTTGAGTTCCTCGCGCAAGCGTCTCACGTCGGCTTTGCCGTTAAACGTGCGTGGGAATTCATCGATAGCAACAAATTTCCCCGGAATCATGTACGGTGGAAGGAACTTTTCTATGCTCTTCTTGAGACCGTCCAAGTTCACTGTGGACGGGCTAACGAATGCAATCAGAACACTTTCGTGGACAATTGCAGCGGCCAGGCCAACGTCCGGCGTTCGTAGAAGTGCCGAGGTGACTTCGTTGAGCTCCACCCGGTAGCCTCCAAGTTTGATTTGATCGTCCACTCTACCGGCAAACTCGAGTTCCCCATTCGCAAGTCTTCGCACCATGTCTCCGGTAGCATACATCCTCCCTCCGGTCTTGCTGAAGGGATCCCGCAAGAACTTGCATGCCGTAAGTTCCGGGTTGTTGATGTAGCCCAGTGACACTCCGATGCCTCCAACGTGTATCTGTCCCTTCCCGCCCACTGGTACGTGTCTCAGCTTCTTGTCAAGCACGTAATAAGAATTATTGGCGAAAGGTTTGCCAATACCGATATGAATCCCGGGTTTCAAAGGTGGTGTGCAGGAGGTGGTAACGGAAGTCTCGGTCTAAAAGATATTTGAAAAGCGGTCCAGGTGAGACCACGATACGGTTTACTGGATGATCTCCCAAAAAACCTACCGCCCCATAGTCGACGTAGAAATTGACGTGATTACCCCACTTCTTCACAAGCGAGTCCGGACAAGCTTCTCCAATAGCCAGGACCACCTTGAGGTTGGGAAACTCGCTTGGCTCCATCTGCATGATTCCCGTTGGAGTCAAGTTTATGCACTCCACGTTTCTGAGAGTCTTGAAGATGTCTTCCTCGCGAAGTACCAATGTGGCCCCCGTGAACCATGTTCCGTACAGTTCTTGCAGTGCGCCGTCGAATGAAATTCCCAGCATTTGTGCAACTTTAACTCCGGGCTTGCAATGGCACGTGAATGGGTGGTGCAGGATGTTATTGACAATTCCCTTATGAGGCACCATGACTCCTTTGGGTGTTCCAGTTGTTCCCGACCTAATGATGGGAATATGAAAGCTACTTATTGGCGAGTTCAGCGACTTCGGAGATAGCCATTCATGTACTCACGTAAAAATACAGTACGCAATGGTATTTCCAGTACTAAGGTCGTCTGGTTTCTCATCCATTTCATTCTGGGATGCCAAATCTTCAATCAAATGGCATGACGTCGTTGCATCCAGCGACGGAACAATGTCATAAGCGTCCCTCGTAGTCAACACGATCCTGGTCGAGACCGTCTGCAAAATATACTTGATGCGATCCGTGGGGAAGTCGGCGCTGATAGGCACACACACTCCGCCAGCCTTCAAGGTTGCAAGCAGTGCCACTGCCATCTCAATGGATCTGTGCACTACTATTGCCACGTAGATGCCTGGTTGGACTCCAAATGCGCGCAACCGACAGGCCACAGCATTCGCTTTCTTGTCCAGCTCTCGGTACTTTAGGTTGCGATCGCCGTGCTGTATGGCGATCCGCTGGGAATGAGAAACAGCCGCCAGTTCAAAGCCGTGGTGGATACAATCGTACGGCAATGGCGCGACTGGACCCCGCAGAATCAGGTTCTCCTCACCCTCGCACTGGTTGAGCGTGGCAATTCGGTCGTCTGGACTAGAGGTTACCACGTCGAGCAGCTTCGCGTAGTCTCCCAACATCTTTTCCACTAATTGCGCTTCAAAAAATTTGCCATCGTACTGTATGGATATCAATGTCGGAGTTTTAGGGCTGCCCCTGGCATCGACATTGAAGGTAAACGCAAAGTGAGCGGTGGTAGTACTGTCTAGATCCAGCTCCGTTCCACGAGCTATAATATTATGCTCGCTTTGAGGCCCACTCGAGGTAGTGAAGTCGAACATGAGCTGTAAGGTCGATGGTGAAATCCCTTTTGAGGTCATGACCGTCTCGAATGGAATGTCGCTGTTTTCAAGGACTCGGTTAATGTTCACCCTTGTTTTCTTCAAAACATCCTTAAACGAGTCGTGTTCCTCAAGCTGGGCGCGGACCACGACTGTATTGATGAAGCAGCCGACAGATGTAAAGCTTTCTCGAACATTGCTACGGAGGCTCACAGGTGTCACGACGCCAAAATCGTACTGCCCAGTTTGTCTGGCAAGGATTACGTTTAGTAAGAGTTACATGAAATCCGCGATAGCGTATAACATACCTGGCAATAAGAGTCTGGAAAAGGGAAAGATATGCAGTGAAAGGAGAGACCGCTGCGTTTGAGCAGAGCTCCAGGAATCGCTTTGTGGCTGCCTGGTCCAAAGGCACCTCTTCACTCCAAACAGCAGTTCCCCTGCCGCCATCCGGCAGACGTTGACTCTCCGACAGATCAATGGTGGGTATCTCACATGATATGAAGCAAAGCGAGACTGGGTGTTCCAGAGCTCTCTGTTGTTCGCCTCAAGAAGCTGGCGATGCCTCAAAGTAAGAGGTACAAATTGCATGGCGGGCTCCAGGCTCACCGATCGGCCTGCTACCAAATGGTGGTAAATCAAAGTCACCTCATCGAGCAAAAGGTTGAGCCCCCATTCGTCCACGGCAATGTGATGAATGTTGAGATAGACACCGGTTGCTTGGCCTAGTTTGAACACTCTGAACCTGATTGGAGCTTCAGTCGATAAGTCAAACAGAATCAGGTTGTCCGCTCGGCATTGAGATTTCATTTCCTCAACGGCATCCGCAGATTGAGCCAGGTCAACGATCTCAAAGTTAAGAGGCAGATTCCTCCTGATGACCTGCACTAGTTCCGAAAAATCAGAATTTAGCTTGTAAGTCGTCCGCATGATGGTGTGTCTCCGGCAGGCAGCCTCCATCGCTTTGACGAGGAGCTCGCAATCCAACAGGGATTCCACGACAACCAGCTTGGCCAAGTGATAGGCATTGTCGCCGTGGGCTATCTGCGCTGCCCACATGCGCTCTTGGGTGTAGGATGCTGGATATTGTTTCTCCTGGGCAATCGTAGCAGATTCTTCGGATACAGTGTCAGAGCGTGGATGTCGCTTCCTGCTGATAAGTGCAGCGAGTGAGCGGACCGAGGGGTTTGCTGACACCTCCGAAATCGTCAAGTCCATGTTAAACTCCTTCCTGACTCGCGAAATAAGTCGCATGATGGCATATGATTCTAATCCATTGGCAATTAAATTGTCTTCCGCCTCAATCACGTCATACTTGAGTAAGTCAGCTATCGTTCGGAGTAGGGAAATCTCCAAAGCTGATTGTTTGTCGTTGTGACCGGACTCTCTTTTGCGGGAAATCAAATTACAAAGAGAGCCTACGGAGGAACACTTCTGAATTTCGGACACCGTCAATTCCACTTGGTAGGTCTTTCGTATACGTAGCATCAGGCGCATCATGCCGTAAGAATCCAAACCGACCGCGGACAAGTCATCGTCTGGGTCGATGTCCGCACTGTTCACGATCTGAGCCACAAGCCCCAGCAATTCGTGCTCGTAGTCCTTGGATTCTCTTTTTCTATCACTCTGTGCTTGCGCTGGCTTTTGTTCAAGGAACCTCCATGACCGGAGTTTGCCGCGGTCGATCTTGCCAGCCTTGCTCAGAGGGAAATCTGCCATCGGTATCAATTTTCGCGGTACCATGTACGGTGGGAGTTTCTTCCTCAAGAGAGATCGGATAGCTTCCAGGTCTTGATCCTTTGATCCGTCCGTTATCTGGGCAACAGTTCCGCTAACATCTTTGAATGTAACGTAGCCGATAAGAGAGGCATTGTCTCCGGTTTGCAAGACAACACATGCATTTCGAACGCAGCGGACCTCCAAGATTGCGTGCTCGATTTCACCTAGCTCCGTCCGTCGACCGTTTATTTTCACCTGATTGTCGATGCGACCAAAATATTCAAACTGCCCATTGGCGTGCAATCTGACACGGTCACCTAAGGCGCGGAAGTGTGACGATCAACTTAAACTTAAATCCGCAGGAGACCTTCCAAGGGGCCCGTTGCTTACCTGTCAGATACATGCGTGTTCTGGGCACAAAAGGATTGTCGATGAATTTCTCCCTGGTGAGATCTGCCCGGTTGAGGTAGCCCCTCGCCAAATGACCTCCTCCTACCGCTAACTGGCCACTGACGCCAATGGGCACTAGATTCATCCTTTCATCGACGACTAGGCATAAGCTGGAACCGACAGCCCCTCCGATAATGGTAGGAAACGTGGACGGATCCGGCCGACAAATAGTTGTAACTGCCGTTTCCGTGGGACCTACACTGGAATTAGCAAAATTATTTAGAGGTGTCAAATGTGCAGTCCGCACTCACCATACGCATTAAGAAGCCTGTCGAGATATGGGAACCACGTCGCCACAATCGTCTGCGTGATAGGCTCGCCTGCTGAGCAAAGAACTTTCAGAGATGGAACTTCTTCCGGAGAGAGCAGGGATATCACGGTGGGTGTGAGAGTGAGAGCGTTCGCAGAAAGGTTTCGAACTACTGCTGCTAAATTGCCGTGCATCTCCGCGGCAGGTGCAACACAAACGGTGCCCCCTCTTGCAAGCGTGCAGAAAATATCCAGGATGGAGAGGTCGAAGGTATACGTTGAAAAGTTGAGGGCGCGAGTACTTTCAGTCGTTCCAAGCTCGTCTGCGCAAAGGTCGATAAACTTAACAGCAGCCCGATGCTCCACCATGACACCTTTTGGTGTTCCCGTGGTCCCCGAGGTAAAGAGAATATATGCCAACAAGCCCGATGTTACGTGCAGTGCTTCAACCGGCGAGGTTGGCATTTTCGAAACAATGTCCTCTACGTCCACTTCGATAGCTCTGTGTCCTGCGCGGCGGAAGTCAGCCGAGTATTTGGTGGTTGTGACAACAAATGGTGCCTTCGCCGCGCGAATGATCAGATCTTGTTTCTCGGCTACGGCTGCAGGCTCTATTGGTACCCAGCAACACCCAGCTTTAGTAACTCCCAACATCCACCACACGGCGTCGAAGCATTTGTCGAGGCATAACACTATAGGTGTTTCAAGGGGAACGCCTTCGGATCGCAGGAACCGCGCAATTGAATTGGCCTGAAAATGGGATTTGTCAGTGAGTTCGGAGGAAAAGCAACCGGACGCAGCTCGAACGGTCATCTACCTTCGCATCTAGTTCCGCATACGTCACACTTCTGCCATCAAGATGCTCCAGGGCGATTGAATGAGGGGTCTTAATGCACTGCCTTTCAAACAAGCCATGAAACGTTTCGGTCTCATCGCAGGTGTTGCACACATACTCGTTTCTGATGAGTAAGTTCTCTTCCTCTTTTGGGACCATCCGCAGTGAGCCGATGGCCGTCGAAGGTTTCCTCGTAATGGACAGCAACAATTCTTGGAAGTGTCCCGCGAGTGCTCGGATGTACCTGGAGTCATACAAGTGCCCGTTACACTCAATTCTAATTGAGACTTGATTTTCTCCGCGACCTTCTACGAGAGAGAGAGCTACATCGTAATATCCCCTTCGCTCGGTATTAATAGGCAGCTGCTCCGCGTCTTGGAAGATGTTCTGCTGATCCGCGACGTATTTGTTGTCGGTAACGTAGGCAAACATAACCTGGAACTCCGACAACATTAGCCGTGCTTCCTTTCCGTACACTTCGCTGATGACTCTTTCGAAGGGTACATCCATGTTAGCCAGATGCTCGTTCACAACTTGCATGTTTTGTCGGAGGTAGTTGACAAACGGGAGGTCAGGTTCAAGTCTCGTGCTGATCGCAAGCGTGTTCAGGAAGCAGCCCATCACGTCCGCGTAAATCGCTGCTCGATTTGTGACAGGTGTCAAAATGGCGAAATCCGTCGATTGACAATAGCGGTAAACAAGAATTTGGAAAAGGGACAGCCAGCCTACGTAAGGGGATGCATTTTGGCTTTTGCAGACGGCTAGAAACGCCTCCACGACTACGGGGTCCAGGAAAAGCTCTTCGTTATTCGCTGCTGACTTATCATCTATCTTGTTGCTCTGCAACGACGGAAATTTTGCGGGGACCACGTCCTTGAGTGCATTTCCCCAGAAGTCCAATTGCTGGCTTTCAACCTCCGACAGGTGGCGTCGTTGCCCTAATGTAAAATCGACGTACTCCAACGAGGCATGACCGATACCAACGTCCGCTTTCTGTTGTATGAGTATCGCGTACGTGTGGGAGAGCTCGTTCAGTAAAAGAGCGAAGGTCCACTCATCTGCAATGATATGATGAACATTGAGGTAAACAGCGTAATCATTACTGCCCAACTCGAAGATCATGAATCTAACGGCGGGTTTATCGCTGAGGTTGAAAAGTGTGGCATTGTCCTCTGCGCATAGCTTTCGAAGCGCTGCAAGAGGATCGCCCTCCGCGGTCAGGTCAAGCGACTTGAATTCATAGTCAATCTTCTTATTTACAATTTGCATCACATTGTCCCCATCGAATTCAAACGTGGTTCGGAGAATCGCATTTTGCTGGCACACTAGGTGCATTGATTTGATCAGAAGATCCGGCTTTAGCGGTTGGCGAACTCGCATTAGCTCTGGGATATGGTAGGTGCTGTCATTCCAAATTTGCTGCGCTAGCCACATTCGCTCTTGAGTAAATGAGGCGGGGAAACGGCCATGACCTATGTCCGCTAGCATCGAGCGCTCTTCGGTTGTTGTTTGTGAGTTCGCTTCTGCGTTCGTGTCACCCCCTCCTCGACCCCCGTACTTGTCTATGTAAACCGCGAGTTGCCGGATAGTTGCATTTGGTACAAGATCAGTTATCGTCAAACCTGATGAAGGAAATGAGGTCCTCAGTGTTCCCACAAATCGAATCATCGACAGCGAGTTTAGACCAACTGTCCACCAGACGTCATCTACACCGAAGTGTTCATTCCCAACCAGCTTTTTCACGATGTTAAAAATCTCCTGCTCAGTGTCGCTTTGCGGGTTTTCCAACTCGGCAGTCTCTCTGTTAGAGCGAACCACTGTGAGCTGCTTAAGCTTCTTTTTGTCAATCTTACCATTCTTGTTGAGGGGCAACCGCGTCATTGGGACCCACATGGATGGGACCATGTAATAGGGCAGCGCAGACCGAGCGAGAGTAATCAAACCGCCAGTGACTGATTGCACGAAGTCGTTTGACGGGAGGAAAGTGCATTTGTGGTTTTCATCTCGATACCTGTGCAGGTCGTAGAAGCACACAAGGCTTTTGTCATTTTCTCCAGCAAGGGTCATCACGACTGCCGCAAGATATTTGACTTCTTGTGCTCTTAACAGAACGTTTTCAATTTCGCCAAGCTCGATCCGTAATCCATGCAGCTTCACTTGATCATCTTGTCGTCCTAAGATAATAAGCTGGCCGTCGTACCAGTAGCGCCCAAGATCGCCGCTTCGGTATATCAATCCCAACTGGGGATGGTTAATCCATGCCTTGGAAGTCAATTCTGGGTGACCCAGATATCCTCGTCCCAGCTGCGGACCTGCTAAACAAATCTCCCCCACGCACCCAATAGGTACAGGCTTGAGTTTGTCGTCGAGAAGGTACTGAGCAACTTCTCGATAAGGATACCCAATCAAATGAATGTTCTTTTCGTCGCTATAATGCCGGTGGGAGTGACTGAGACAGCAGGTTTCCGTCGGTCCGTAACCATTACCAAGATGAACCAATCCTCCCCAGCGTTCAACAAGCTCCTGCATCATAGGCTCCCCACCAATATCCATAGCCCGCATGGTAGGGACCCGCCGTGGATCAAGCAGGGCAAGTACAGACGGTGTAGCAGCCAGGAAAGTCACCTTCATTTCGGCGATGACGCCATCCAAGTCGGTTGTAAGGTCTTCCCTGGAGGCCATACAGATCGTGCCACCTAGGGGACAGCATTGACTGAGTGATCCGAACCTTTTGCGGAACGATAACTGTCTTCCTTACCTGTCCTCAACGTTGCAAAAAAATCCATAACACAGTCGTCGAACGTGAAAGTGGCATAGTTCAAGCGGCGGTCGCTTTCACCATGAGAGTACCGCTCGCAAAAACCGCCGCTTGCGGATACAATTGCACGATGGGGGATCATGACTCCTTTCGGGTCGCCGGTGGAGCCGCTGGTATAGATTATGTACGCAAGGTTGCTTGACGAGAGCGAGGGAACGCTGAAGTTCTCGACAGGTGTGCCTGGATCGTCAGACAAAACATGTTCCACCGCCATGACGTTTGCCTCCAGAGTAGCTTGCAGGATGGACACAAGGTTCGATGTTGTCACCACTAATGTGCTCTTCGTCTGCTCGATGATGAAGTTGATCCTCTTCGCTGGAATATCGGGATCGAGCGGAACGTAAGCGCCACCAGCCTTGAGCACTCCAAGGACCGCGATGACCATTTCAATGCATCGTCCAACACATATGGGCACAAGGACCTCTGGACCAACGCCAATTTCTTGCAAGTGACGTGCGAGGAGGTTGCTGCGACAGTTCAACTCGGCATACGTCAAAGTTGGGCCGTTCAGAAACTCTACGGCATTTTTATGCGGTGTTCGCGCGACCTGACGTTCAACAAGTTGATGAATGCACAGATCCGCGTCAACCTCTACGATCTGCCGACCCCATTGGGTACGCTGAAATTCCATTTCTTCCAGGCTGCTCAACTGGATGTCCCGGAGCGCGGCGTTAGGGCGTTGAACCAGATCTTTGATGCCGTGACAGACGTGAGCCATGATCCATTTGAGCTCTCCTTCAGTAATAATCTCCTCATCAAAATCAACCACCACCATCCATCCTGAGTCGGTTTTCTTAAGCTCAAGGCAGAGTCCACTGTCCATGCCCATCTCGGCTCTGAGAAATTTGAGACCAGATGCGTCCATGTCTTTTACAGCTTCGGGTTGATTTTGAATCACCAGCATGGTCGTAAACAGCCCGCTCAAGCCAGACAAGCCAGGCCCGCAATTCAGCACGTCCATCAGACTGCAATGTTCATATTGCATCATGTCAAGGTGGTGCTTCTGTAGCACCTGCAAGAAGTTCGTAGCAGTCATGCTTTTGTCCAAAACGACTCGGACCGGGACGCATGTAATGCATGGGCCGTTGATATACTCAATATCGTCTACCGGAACACTGCGTCCTGAACTAACGCAGGCGAACGACACATCATTCGTGTTGGCATGGGAAGCAAGAACAAGGGCCCACGTTGCACGGAAAATAGTTGAGATCGTAACGCCAAGCTCCCTGGCATGTTTGCCCAAATCCACATTAACGGCACAGGTCAAGTTCCCGGTACTCTTCGCTTGGTAGGTGGATGACGGCGACCGCGGGAAGGTCATTCCCGCAAAGTCCTTCAACTGTTGTCTCCAGAATTCGGCAGCCTTCTCCCTGTCTTGCTGGACCAAATATTGAACGAATCCCTTATAGGCCGGCCGCAATGTTAACGCTTCACCGCGACAGGCAGCTTCTAGGTCGTCCAATATCATGTTCGTCGACCATCCATCGTATAGCGCGTGGTGAATGGTCCAGATGAACTTGACGTTTGCGGAAGGGGCACGAACCAGAGCAAAGCGCATGAAGGGCGAGCCGAGCTTCACTCCTTTCTCCAGATCTTGGGACAAAATCTTCTCTAGCTCTTCTCCCTCTGTTATTTGATGCTCGGTCCACGACGAGAGGTCATCGCGCATTACAACTTGCAGGCATTGAAGGTCGCTCGAGGTTGTCTGAGGGACGACAAAAAGCGTCCTTAAAATCGGGTTGGAACGGATCACCTCGCGCCAGGCTTTCTTGAAACGATCGATATTCGGTGTCTTCTCAAACTCGTAGACTATCTGTGAGAGATAAGAGGCTCTCTCACCCGTTATTGTCGCAGCCACTAGGCTTCGCTGCATGGGAGTGCACGGATAGATGTCCTCAATATCCTCAAGTTTGATATCTAGGGCGGGAAGGTCCCTCGAACTGATTTCCATCAGTTGGGGAAGGGTCAACATGCTGAACGCAGCCACATTAGGTTGCTGCTTGACAGTCAAGACCGGAGCCGGGGGACTGGTTTTCTCAAGGAATTTCGCAAGACATGCGATGGTTGGGTTGGCGAAAAACTATGTTCACAAAGGTGAGAAATGAGGTGTTACCAAAATCAACGGATCTTTAACGAACCACATACATCTGATGACGTTATGGAGAGACCTTTCGCACGGGCATTATTGACGAACTTGATGAGCGCTAGAGAATCGCCTCCTAGATTGAAGAAAGAATCATTCGTTCCTATATCTGAGGGTTCAAGACCCAAGGTCAAAGTCCACATGTCATGCAGATCCTTTTCCAGTTGGCTCGCCGGAGGGTGTTTTCTGGTGCTGGCACCGCGCGTGAGGGTATTGATTGCCACAAGATCAACAGCCGAAAAGATCGTTTGGAGGGCCCGACGATCCAGCTTGAAATTAGCGTTCAGCGGAAGCGCTGAGATACGCCATAAATGTTAGCGACGTTCATTAAAAAACAATGCCTGCAGCATGAAATATAGTTCTCACCATCAAGGGGAATCCAGTGCCGCGGTGTCATGTATGAGGGCAACTTGGCAGCGATAGCCTTTTCAAGAGCCTCAACCGCTAGTCGGACGGAGCTACTTTTCTGTCCAACAACAATGAATGCTACAAGCAGCTGTTTGCCTCTAAACTTCACCGGCTGAGTCACGGCGGATTCAACGACGTCCTCTCTTGCGATGACATTGTCAATCGCTTCTAGGTCAATTCGTAAACCGTTGACTTTGACTTGATTTCCTCTGCGTCTCACGAATTCCAGAGTCCCGTCAGGTCGGAAGCGCGCAATGTCGCCGGTGCGATACAGACGTCCACCCTTCTTGTAAGGGTTGGATACAAATGCCTCTTTGTCCAAATCAGTCCCGTTTAGGTATCCTCTGCACACTTGGGTTCCACCGATGTAAACCTCGCCTTCAACCCCAACAGGCACCGGGCTGAGGTCATCCTTCAAGATGTAAGTGGCTACATCTCCAATGCTTGCGCCAATATGTAATGGAGAATCATTCGGTTGAACCACCTTCATGTGAGAGTGTATCGTGGTTTCTGAAGATGATGCGGTGAGTAGGATTGATATCATATCAGAATGCTGCGAAGGGAGACGTACCTGTTGGTCCATAACCATTGATCAAACGGACTCGCGAAGCCCACCGTTGCACCAGCACTTCTGTTAACATTTCTCCCGCGGTGACCAATGTCTTCAGTTCAGGCACCGACGCGGGATCAACCGTATCCGCAAGCGACGGGACAAGCTCGACATGGTCAATACGTGCTTCCCTTATTACCTGACTCAAATCGCTTTGAATATCGTTTTCCGATGCAAGCACAACCGTTCCACCTGATATAAGAGGCAGGAATATATCCGTCACAGAAAGGTCGAAGGTGTACGGAGACACGTTTAGAACCCGAGAGTGTGGGCCGACATTCCACAGGGTGTGCGCACGGAGGGAGTTGACGACGCTGGCGTGTTCCAGCATTACCCCTTTTGGTTCGCCCGTGGATCCTGAGGTGAAAAGAACATATGCCAGATTGTCCTCAGATAGCCCAGGAGTGACCACAGGTGTCGCCGGATAGTTTGCAAGCTCAGTCTTAAACTCATCAACCAAAACGCATTTGGGCTTGGAGTCAGTCGAATCGGCAAGGAAGAGGCCGGAAAGCTTTTCGGTTGTAACGACTACAGCAGCATTTGTTGCTTTGAGAATGTCTCGAATACGTTCAGGGGATATCTTTTCGCTAATCGGCACGTAGGCCCCACCGGCGGCCAGAATAGCCAAGAGACCAACGAGCATATCAAAAGACCTCGACATGCACACTGGCACCATCATGTCAGGCCGCACACCCATCTGTTGCAAATAATGACCCAGGCGATTCGCGTTTTCCATGAGCTGCCGGTAGGTCAGTTTTCCACCACGATAGAGCTCGGCCGCTATTGTGTCGGGGTGGTTATCCGCTCGCCACTGCACTAACTCGTGTAGCAAGACGCCCTGGACGGGAGCATCGCGGCCCTGCGCCCAAGACTGGAGTATGCCGTGCTCTTGAGCGCTTACTAGGGGAATGGACTCGACAGGCCGATCCGGGAAATTAATCATATACGAAAGGACGTCCGCGAGATGGTGCAAGAGTAGGTCAATTTCAATTTGGGAAATAACTTTCTGGTCGTATCGGAACACGAACTTCAAGCCGTCGGCGGATATAGTGACCTCGACGGACAAAGAGATGTCTGAGATCATAGTGGTGCTTTCTGTTTCCAGTGAAATAGTCTCGGTGCACTGTCTGTTAGACCAATCCGCAACGTTCTGTGAATGTATTAGTATATCCCTTGCCATCACCTGCCAAATACAGTCCAATAAAGTAAACACGTACCTGCAGAGCTACTAAAGTGTTGAACAGTTTGCTCGAGTCCATTCCCACCGCTTCAGACACTACCGACTTTGGTGTCGACTCAAATTCCATAATGTCTGAAGATGCTCTCTGTAGTCCCTTCAAAAAGTCAATGATGGTGGTCCCATGAGAAATCGTGGCCCTGAATGGCACTGTGTTCAAACACGGCCCACAAATCCGCTCGATTCCGTCCAACGGAGCAGAGCGCCCGGAAAAGACAGTGCCAAAAACCACGTCCTTCTTTCCGGAACGAGCGCTAAGAGCTATGCTCCAAGCTGCGTTGACCAGTACAGACGCAGCTATGCCCTTAGCGCGAGCAAAGTTACCAAGCTCGAGCAAGATGTTTGCTTCAAAATGCCTCGTCGCCCGACATGCGACGTTGGGGAGTGATCTACGAATGGAATTTGAGAAGAAAGCGGACAATAGTCCATGAGAGCAGCAGAAGCTCCCTGACCTTGGAAACTCCACACGCTTCGTTCCCCGGAGATACTCCGTCCAGAATAATTTGGCTCTCGACCAATCTTCCTCCATCATGTACTTGGTGAAGTTTGCGAATGAAGTGTAAGGTGCTGGAATGCCGCCATGATATCGTATACGGAGGTCATCAACCACCATGTTCAAGGACCACTGATCAATGATAGAATGGTGGACGGTCACAATTAACCTAGATGGCTCCCCAGGTTTGGATAAAAGACAGGCCCGCACGAACGGGTCGCCGGAAGGGAAACCACGGGCTTCGTCTGATTTTAAATACTCTTTCAGGGTCGCTTCCATACCTTCTTCTCCGCAAACGATGTTCTTCCACTCAGATCGGTCGCTTTTCAACAGTACCTGGACTGCATTAGTATCTCCATGCAAGTCCGCGGTCCAACCGCAGGTCGTCCGGAGCATATCATTGGCATGGATGATCTCCCTCCAGGCACTTTCGAACCGGGCGGAATCCAATGAGCCATGAATCTTGTACACCGTTTGCCAGGTGTATTGGGAACTGTCTAGCTTTGTGGCCGCCACAATGGCAGACTGCAACGGGACACAGGGCATTGCATCCTAATGCGGCAAACAGGATTAACTACTGAGAGCCAAGTGGTCCACACCAAAGCGCTGAGGGCAGACCTACCTTTATATCATCCATATCAATCGGGTGGTCCTCGAGGAAATTTTGAAGAAAAGCACGTCCCTCAGCCTCCCCCATGCCGAGCAATTCAAATGGGCGGAGTGGAGCTTCATTGACCACCGTCGAGTCGGCGATCGAAATGTCCGCTGAAGAGCTGGGGACATGGGTAACATCGACGAAAACGTCGAGAAACATCAGCCACTTGGCAGCGAAAGCACTCACAGTCTCTTCTCTAAAGTCGGCCGCACTGTACAAGAAACGGGTTTCTAGGATGCCGTTCTGCTGGATGGTTTCTATACTGAATCGATATCGGTTCATTTCGCAGTCGTCGTAGTCATCTTCCCCATTGGCATATTCTTCTCCGGCCAGTCTAAGCAGGCTAGCCTTGTCTTCCAGTTGAGAGAACGCCCCGTAATAGTTGTATATGATTTCGGAAGTAGGGTGTGTGGTAACGAACGTCTTTGCTGAAGGCTTGTTGGACAGGTACCTCATAGCTCCGTAAGGAAGACCTTTGAGCGGGAGGCCTCGAATCGTTTTCTTTATGGTATCTACAAATGGCATGTGTCCTTCTTGATCCATTGCAACGTTACGAGCGCGCAGGCAGACTGGAAATGTGGTTGTAAACCATCCCAGAGTTCGTGAGGTGTCCAGAGCGTCATCCCAAGGCTCGCGTCCGTGCCCTTCCAGATCGACAGCAAACACGTCGCGGTCGAACTGCTGGCCGTACGCAAGAGCTAATGCCGCCACGAGAATCTCCAATACAGTGCATTGGTAGAAAGGCAAGGCCTGAGAGAAGATCTTCTCCACCGTCGTCGCCGGGACCTCGACAGTAAGGCGGTGCATCGTGCTCGCGCGGTTCTTCTGCGTCGGATTGCCCGCAAAATCGGAAGGTATTGGCGGCTGGGTGGGGAAGGTATTGGGCCATGACTCGGGGTCGAGGGTTTGCGCGTACTCGGCTTGCTTGAGAGCCCAAGTCTGAAATGAAGTCGTCTTGGGGGGCAGCCCATCCACACCGGTATAAAGGTTTTGGAAGTCTTCGAGCAAGATGCGCCAGGACACCAGATCCATGACCAAATGATGGACGGTTATGACGAGCCGCTGCTGGCCATCCGTCATATCGATCAATCCAGCGGCGATGATAGGCCCGTCTGCCAAATTCAGCGTTCGCTGAATCGCATAAACCCTCTCTAGCATTTCAGTTCTGTTCGCCGCGGTAGAAGACATGGTCTCGACCGGGGCATGGTCTTGGAGGTTGAGAATACGTTGCTCCATTGTACCTGCCTCCCGGTCCAGAGTGAACCGCGCCCGAAGCATATCGTGGTGAGCGACAAGAGCGTTCATCGTCTGGGTAACCGTTTCTGGAAGCAATCTTTGATTGGGAATGAGGAGGAAGGTTTGATTGTAATGATCGGGATTCACCGGCTTCCATTCCAAAAACCAGTGCTGAATTGGAGTCAGCTCCACCCTGCCCTCCACAGGGCCCGTCTCCATCATTGCTTTTGCCGCTTGGTTTGCCGGAGAGAGTAGAGGAAGCGAAGCCAGCTCTTTCAAGACATGCTTATCGAAAATCACAGTCGGGGAGATGTACAACCCATACACTCTTCGCAGACGGGCTGACACCAATATAGCTGAGATAGAATCACCACCGATGGCTAAAAATGACGTTTCAGAGGTGATTCCCTCAACGGGAATCTTCAGAACCGTCGCCCAGATGTAAGCGACTGTGGTCTCCTGAGGCGAGAGACGCACGGAAGCTGCGGAACGGTTGACGAAACGGGGCGTAGAAGCTGGGAGAGCCGCATCTCGACCGGTGGCTTCACTGCGTAGCATGGCCGCAAGCATCCGACGGTCCACCTTGCGGTTCTCAGTCATTGGCAGCACCTCAAGGGCAATAAGCTTGGACGGGACCATGTAGTACGGCAGCATCTGAACGAACGCGAGCACCTCTGAGTACTCCAAGAACAACAGTCAGACAGTAAGGCAGAGAGCTTTTACCTTTTTCATTTCGCTCCGCAGCATGTCAACGTTCAACGTATGCGGCGAAATGAATCCAACCAGCTGTCTGGACTCAAACAAGACGACCACATTGCTGACGGACGGTAACTTCCCTAGGATTGTTTCCACTTCCCCCAATTCCACCCGAAAACCGTTGATTTTGACCTGATGATCCGCACGGCCAATTACTTCCAATTCTCCTCTGTTGGTCCATCTGCCCAAATCGCCCGTATTGTACATCTTGCTTCCGTCCTTGGCGAAAGGGTCAAGTTTGAACTTTTGGGCAGTCAGGTCAGGAAGATTTCTATAACCCCTCCCGACCCCAGTGCCGCCGATCCAGATAAGACCCGGAACTGTTACGGAATCGGAGCAGGATTCAGTTAAAAATTGAAGTTACAGAAATTGGCATGGAGACTCTTTTCACCTCCGATTGGAACAGGTCGCATCCGGTCATCAAGGATGTAGCAGGTGTCGCCAGGAATGACGCGGCCGACAGTTATGGGTTTCCCCGGAATATTGATACCAATATGGGTTGCGTGGGTTTCGGCCGGGCCATAACCGTTTAGCAAGATGACTCTATCGCCCCACGCCTTTGTGAGCCCTGCGTTGCTGGGCTCGCCAGAAACAATTATTTTCTTGATGTTTGGATATTGGTCCGGGCTTACGATGGAAAGAGCGGACGGGGTGATAAGAATTGTATCGATCCGATACAACGCTTGCTCGAAATCTTCTCCAAGATCGTCGGGGCGCACAACCAGAGTGCCTCCTCTGCAGTGCGTTGCAAAAATCTCCCAGCCGAGGTTGTCGAAACCAATTGAGCTGAACTGCATCATTCTCGTTCCGTCAGTGTTCCCAAGACCACCCGCTCCATGAAGGATGAGGTTATACATGACTCTATGTGGAATCTCGACGCCCTGTTGTTTACGGTTTTCATTAAGTTGGGGATGAGCAATGTGCTGATGCGCCAACTAGAATCGGCCACTACCTTTGGTCGGCCTGTTGTTCCAGAAGTATAGGCCACGTATAGTAGGTCTTCGCTGTTGTTTATTAAGGTTGGGTTTTCCACGTCGATGGGTCCATTCCCGAAATCCTGTACTTTCAACACAGGAATGTTCATGTCAGACGGCATGGAAGCACGTATTTGATTGTCGTCAGCCAATGTTGTGACTAAAGCCACGCAGCCTGCATCTTGCAGCATGTACTGCGCCCGTGCAGGGGGAAAGCTAGCATCGATCGGGACGTAAGCCCCAGAGGACTGCAACGAAAAAGGTGAGAAGAACACAAAGGTTAACGGGTGATCAAATCACGACGCTTGAGACAGCTCCATTGGAAGTAGGCTTACCTTGATAATTGCCCAAAAACCAACAATCATTTCAATCGATCGGGTTACGAGCAGACCCACGGGTGCTCCAAGTTTGATGCCTTTTTGGCGGAGATCGTGAGCCATGCGATTCGAGTGTGCATTTAGCTCCCCGTAAGTGATGCTACGGTGGTAGTGCTCGACAGCATTCATTTCAGAGTGTTGCTTAACCTACGGAGAAAAGAAAAGTGCATTCGCCAAGTTGAGGTGCATCCATCACACTCAAGAAGCTCTCACTTGATAGAGATTACCTTCTTTTCGAATGGAATCTGCATGCACCACTTGTCTAGCGCAGCCAAGTCATTTTCAAACACCTCCTGCCGGTTGTCGTTGAAGTCGTGAAGAATCACTCTCGACTCTTCCGGTGTCAAGATGTTTATGTCCGCTACACGAGGGTCGCCTTCTCCGACCAGACCCTGCAATGCTTGGGAGAAATGTCCAGCAAGCGCTTTCATCGCGCGATACTCGAAGACGGACCCGGCAAAGAGTATTTCGACTTGAATGGGTGCATCAGCTATTGGCTTTCCGAAGCAAACAATCAGAGGGAGTTCGTTCGTGAGTTGAGCTAGCACCCGAGAATCCCAGAATCCAATCGCAAGTCGAAATAAGGGCTCGCCGGACGAAACTCCAGCCGCCTCGCGAATTGCATCAAGCGACGTAAGGCCGGTGTTCGCGGAGGAGACCGCCTCGTGTATAGAACGGACCAATCTGCTCGCTTGTAGATCATGAGCAGACAGTACCGCGTGCACAGGTCGCGGACAGAATGGTCCATCAAGCCTTTCTTGGTCCTCGATGTCCGCTCCAAATGTTACATCTTCGGAACTCAAGTACCGCGAATGAACAATGGCCCAAGCAGCGTACAAGACCGCCCGGATTCCGCAACAATGAGTGTGGGACAATCTCCCCGCTTGTTGTACCAGCTGCGTTGGCAGTTCGAAAGTGATGGAGTCTGGTTTGTCTTCCCGCACCGCATCAGCCTCTGGTGGAGGCAAGGGGAAAGCAGCTGGGGCAGGCATACCCGCAAAACTCTTGAGATAGTCAAGTTGCTCGTGTGTATCAGAAAGGAGTGACATTGTTTTGTCACGATATATAGTTGATAGATGGCACTCGTGGGAGGAAAGTATGGTAGACTAGGAGAGGCTCCAGAAGTTGATGAATTCTAATAGAACTCAGGTTTAATAACAGGAGCGCTAGGGTTGCTGTCCCTAGTCTGGAGTTTATCTGATCCGCAGCAGTGTACCAAGTGGAGCCTATATTGCATGACCAAGACTGATGTAGACCAGCCATCCCAGCGGTGGGCGCTCGGACAAGCCTGAAAGTATGAAAACTCGCCATGAGCGGAGTTTTGAGGAATCTGCTGCCGATAAAATGATGCGTAGGTGCACACATGTAGGCAAACATGGAGTGGAGGTGCGGACCTATCACAGACCACCAGATGCTTGACCCTGCGTTTGCCGGCACCTTCCCCGAAAGGTGCCTTGTTTGCAACGGAAAGATGTGCCATAAATGCCCCGCTGGTGATGGACCTACTCTGCACGCGGTGTTTTCCGCGGTGGGTAAGACGATGGCTGTGCAACCAACAAAAAAGAGCAAAACGCATTCTGATCAGCGATCCGCGGCCTCATCTTGTCACCGTCGCGGAGCATTTTGGGAGGTCTTGCGGAACGTCCATCGGAAGGCGTTGTTGTCGGAGTCGTGGCTATCAAAACAAAAATCGCTGCCATACCGTTGGCAATTGTCACCCGCGGTCAACGCAAACAAACGACGGGTCTCCGGAGTTTTTCCAAAGGATTTTATCGGGCAATATCCCTGCCGCTTTGGGAAATCTCCGCGAGATTTGATAAGGCGATACATGGCGACACCTGCATAGGTGATTGCGTTCGTGGAAATGAGCTGACCCCCGCGGCCGCCGCTGCCACAGCCTTCTCGGAGATTGCATATACTTTGTTGTGCGGGGGCGCACGTAGGAAAACTTATTTCCATTGGTAGGAAGTTCGCCTGATGAGGTCAACATTGTCTTTTCGCTATGGGCGTTACGCCAGCCAATATAGCATGAATTATGGATGTCTATCATGCTGATAATTGGCGCAATAACAATTCAACAAACAAACAAACTGTTAATGTTTAACCAATGACATATAGCCAAAACTTTCACTAGCACTCTGAATCACACTTGGAAGGAGATGACTCTAACATATATCATGTATAGCATCTAACAAGTCCTAAAAGAATCTTCCTTCTGTCTTGATTCTTTACAAGAAGCGCTTGGAAACATTGCCATCCAGGAGCGTTTTCACCCTGCTCTTGTAATCATCTCGATTCAGGTAACTGGCGGCAATGACTCTAGATCCAGTGAAAGCCGTACGTCCATGCAGAACACGCCAATTATCCACCATGGCCGCGCACCCGCGGGGCATCTTGATGCGGTACTCAAACACGGGATCTTTGAGTAGGCCGGTCCATAGCTTTAAAGCTGCATAGAAAGCCGACACATCGTGCGGGTCCACTTCCCGCAGCACGGAGCGATCCTCGTTGTTGTGTCGGATTTGGAGAAGCTTTCCTGTCAACGGGTGCTCGCGCAGGATTGAAGAGGCGTGGATTGGCTCCACCAACGTTTCCTCGTCACCTGCCGAATGGAAACTCACGGGGACCTTGGTTAACACTTTGTATGCCCACTGGTGCTCCCTCTTGAGGTGTTCAGCCACGGCAAAGCCGTCAACAAAAGTGGATTCGCCGCCCGTACCGCCTGTATGGTGCAGCACATGCATCATCAGGAGCCTGTGAAAAAAACGGACTTGAGGTCATTGTTTTGCGTAATTTAATTTCGTATCTATCCGGGTACTCACCCTACGGAATCCGTAAAGTAACAAGTATCGGCGTGAGCCGGAAGGTGAACAGGCATGAATGCTGCGTCTCCGTGGGCAAGATCCGCAGAAATAAGATGCGTTTGGCCGTAGTGAGTTTCACGAACGAAGGTGATGCGACGAGCTAGAGCGTCGGTCGCTTCTACGGTGGATGGAATGCCGTCAATGAAACTGATTCCAAAAGTTTCCTAGATTTCAGCATCAAGACGGCGAAACACAAAGTGCATTCAGTGGCAGCATATGGCACGGAAACTCTCCCCTAATCAGATTGAGAAGCTAAAGATGCGAGCGACGGCTTACAATTTGCAACAGGCACGTTTTGAGCAGATTGTCGTCTTCCATGACTTCTGCGTATGGAACGACGGGTAAATTCTGTACGAGATCGTCGGCCCGCCACAAGAGTTGAGGTCTTCTTTTGCGAAGACACAAATGTCAGCATTTATTGTGCCATCTATCTCTGAACGGAACACTCACTCCTTAGCCTTGCGCAAAGGAGGGTTGTAGGAATTGTAGCGCAGCCATTCCAGATCGAAGACGCTAACGTGTGGCTCCTGAAGCCCTGTTAACATACATCTCGAGTGGTGAGCATCCCTCGAGACTCAAGACATCTAGTTTGGGCTTATAGGATAGGGATCACATTGTAACTTACATGACACTCGCAGCTGCTTTCCATCAGGCGTCACTTCAAGGCTCATAACTGAGATGTCCAGCGGCAACCGAGTCACATCGGAGAGACGCTGCTTGGTGTGCGGGTGAAAGCATTCAGAGCATTTGCAGTGATCTCGGAGCCACACACAGTGGAAGGTGGATTCCTCCACATCGTCGAACCGGACAAAAATTTTCGATGCCTTGTGCACGTATGCAGATGGAACCTTTTGAAAAGGGGCCTGCAGCGATAGAGGAGGAGGGCCAGAGGAGAAGAGTTAATCGTCGCAACAGTAATGAAATCCTGCTACAATGCTGGGGAAACAATCAGTTAAAACTTGCCTTGTGCCCAGCAGTTGTGAAAGTAGCGCTAGTTAGGGTTTCCGAAGGCATCTTGTTCTCAATATGACGCTTTAAGCTGATTGAATCTCCTTGCAGACTTTCAACTTGGTCATAAACTGGGGGTGCAAGGGTGACAAGAAATCTTCAAAAGCTTTTATCATTTTGGCGGTGGGCAAGAGCCACCACTCCCAGCCGTTTCGCTCCCTTTCAACAGCCATTGCATAGCCTCCATTGATCACGGTTTCACTCGTATCAGAGAGAGGTTGCGTGCAACTAGCCGGGAACGGGAGCGGGAAAGTGGCCGCTATTCACGGTCTTGGTTGATGGTCTCGGCGCGTCCTGTTCTCACCGCGGCGGATCTTTTTTGGCAGTCAAGGCAGGCATTCATTCCCGTCCGCTCCAAGCCGGCTCGGGGTGTAGTATTTGCAAACTAACATCGCCAGTGTTGGCTTTAATGCTCCAGGGAAAACTCTCCGAACGTTGCGGCAGCAAGCCTGTCGGTCCCCAGATATTTTGTCCAGTTGTCATTTCACATGAGTTAGAGAATTCCGCAGGGATTTTTCCAAGTGGAGAAGTTCACAAAGTTGCCAAATGGAGAGCACTACGGACATTGGCGCAGAGAGTGAAAGATTTTGGGTTGGCCTGACCTAGTTAAGGTCAAGATAAAAACTCCCCCGCGGACTGTGTCTCGCATACCACCATCACCCAAGACTCTGTGCGCATCCTTAGTCGTTTTGCAATACTTTCGTTCTCTCCGGGCCTCTTCCTCTCAACTCAATTGCCATTGGCAAAGATATCCTCATCATGATACCGGTAGACACATTGCCTCTCACCCACAAGCAGCTGGAGACATACGCCCACGAAGGGATCCTCTACATTCCCAACTACTTCTCTCCAGAGGAAGTGTCTGTTCTGCGTGCTGCAACTGCCGAGGAGCTCCAACAGACTGGACGCTTCTCATCTAAAGAATCCCACGTTTCAAAAGTTGGCTGCACTTCCCAAATTGGCTTCGGTTGCGGCGAACATCCTCAAAGACGACGTCTATGTTCACCAGGTAATCCCTACTTTGCTATAATTAGCGTAGTAAGTTGTTGTGCAAATCTAACTAATCCTGGTCTAACGATCTTTTGCCAGTTTAAAATCAATGTGAAAGCCGCTTTCGACGGTGGCGTGTGGCCCTGGCACCAAGACGTAGTGTACTGGTGCCCTTTTTCTTTGACCCTATATTGAGCTACATGGTCTCGACAGTCTCCCAGGTCACCAGTTACCTGATCCATTTAAGGTCCCGAAGATGATTTTCTCCCAACGGCGAACGCCATCAACTTTTTTATTTATCTGGACACTGTCGACGAATTCAACGGCGCCCCGATGTTTGTCCCTCTATCTCATAAAATCACCGTCGATTTGCCCGCGAACGTATGGCCCGTTCAGCTAGCGGCCAGGATCCAAGCGACAAGATAACCGCGGCTTACATGAGCTCAATTACCGAAAATCTAAAGTACACGATCTCGAAGGACGTCCTTTCAGCGGCCGTCTCGGAATATGGCTTGGTCTTGGGACGAGGTCAACCTGGAGGTAGGTTAACTATTCAATCCCTCTTGTGCAACTGCAAGACACGATCCCACTGCTCCCGCCACAAGCAAACTGTCCATTTCCACATTAACATCTATCGTACTTTCTCCACGCAAAAACAGACGTTTGGCTGATGCATCCGCTTGTTTACCACGCATCACCTGCCAATCTATCTCCGTTGGATCGCAAAGTAGTCATTGTCAGTTACAATACGGTGCACAACAAGCCCCCAGTCGAAGGGACTCGGCCGTACTTTTTGGCGAGCAGGGAATACACTCCCGTGCGCCCGTCAACAAACTGCCCGAGTTTGGTAGCGCAACGTCGAAGCCCGAAAGAGCCGCAGCCGACGGTGATTGCCAGGGAAGGGCAATTGCGATAAATAGAGATGGTGGAGCTTCGTAGGGACCCCAGACCCAACGACTGTCATTTTTGGTGCGTTATATAGACATTATTGATTATATCTTTCCTGGTGCCTTTGGTAGTGCGCCAATGTGGCCTCTCAAAGGCAGCAGCTATACATGCCCGTAGACATTCCTTAGAGGCGCTTATTCGCCGTCTCTTAATAGCCACTTTGTTGTCAGTCAAATATAAGATCATGGACTAGTCCAAACTCTTGCTACTTTGTTAACCTTCGTTAACCTTAGTTATTAACCTAACCTTAACCTAATCCTGAGTCAGCATGCAAGAAATGCTGTCCCGGCCGTAACCCTGGTACGCGGAACGAGAGCGCGGAGCTTTTTAATTTTTAGATAACATTTGCACCGTTGCGCGGAGCATTTAATGTTCTGGATTGGGAAGTGCCGAAAGGTTGGCGCTCCGCTGACATAAAAGTCTATAAAGCCTGGCGGTGGGGGGAAAGCCCTTTCTGGAAGCAACTGCCCGCCAGAAGAGGCACATCGTCCCCGTTTCCGTTGGCCATCGTAGGACGTCATGAGTAGCGACGGAGGTTTATGTAGGGATTCAGAAGGGCTGGTATGTCTTGTCCATTCTTCACGTTTTCTTCCCATCAAGATGCTCGAGCGTCAAAAATCATCAAATGTGCTTCTTCACATGGGTTTAGCGTCCATTCTCTCTTGTACGACCAAGCGACTTTACGTTTTGCTTCGAAGATGTGTAAGTGTAGCCCGTTTCGACTGTACATTCAATTAGTGCAATGAAGCGGCCACACAGTACATCTAAACTTTTGTCAACTCACAGCGTCGTCACTTTGGTGCCCCTTGCTGCGTTTGCCTTTTGGATGATCTCGAGTCAAGTCCTCCGCTTCGCCCGCCGGCGCCAACCGCACGAATCCGTCGTGAGGCCATCCCGACTCGGAACCGTACTCATGACCGTACGTACACAATGGGGAATGCCTTCGTATTTTTATCGTCGGACGGACTCTGTAAATTTATTGATTTCGTGTAGATATGCGCTCTAGCATCTGTAGTATTCTCAGCTGTTCGTCTTGCTAACTGGAATGTCGACGCTCGCGGCTCAGTCGCGTTCGGCGTGGTAACGTTCGTCGCCCAGATAGTTGCGCTGGTCGCTCAATTGGCCGACCATCGTCTTGGCCAGAAGCCAAGCGTATCCGTAGTGTGCTGTTGGACATGGGTGGCGATCACCTCCATCGTCAAGCTGAGAACTTTATCCTTGTCGAGCGACACCTCTTCTCAGTACTTCAACATGACCCTCGGCACTTTAGTGTCGTCCGTGCTGTGGCTGTTCGCCGAGGAGACTTTATCCGTCAGATCTACTGACGGAGGAGATGCCACTCCGCTGGACAAGGCTGGTTTGCTGAACTATCTGACATTTGGATTCATCTGGTCCAAGTTGCGAGACAGCCACAAGTACAAGCTGACCATTGAAGACGTTTGGTGTGTTTTTCAGTTTTCTCGAATGACTCGATTAGCCGTTAACATTAATTTTATTACCACAGGAGAATACCCTTGGAAGAATCTACTGACCGCAGCTACGAGCGCTTATCGGATGCGTTATCTTCATCTGGCGCTGCGAAGATGAGGTGAGACCCGTCCCTTTTCCAAAGTTCCACGCGGGAGATAGTATCTAAACTATTGTGGCCGCTAGCCATATACGACTCTGCGCTGCTCTCATCAAATCTCAGCTTGCAATGACCATTGGTGCTGTGGTACGTGACACATTTCGGATGTACATTGAAGTTGCTTGTATGCTTAGATGCATTGCCATTTCGATTTTCACATCGTAGGGCCTAAAAGTGCTTGCTTCGATGTTCATGCTTCTGCAACCTCTTCTACTGGACGCGTTGATCAACTACGTTTCCTCATATCGCTTTGACGGATCAGAGGGATCGGTGCGCTCACCACAAGCTCATGCTACCGGCTATCTCATCGCCATTGGAATGCTGCTTGTTGGTTTGGTTGCTGCCATCATGAACGTGTGGGGAAGCCAGTTGGCCTGGCTTCTCTATTATCGCTGGAAAATTGCTACCGCCAGCTTGGTGTTCCGGAAGAGTCTTCGCTTGTCTCCCAGCGCGCGTGTGGAAAACACTACCGGTAACGTCTCCAACCTTCTGTCCAATGACGCTATGGAAGTCGGGTTCATGGGCGCAAACATGCCGGATGTCATTGCCGCCATTGTCCAAGTGGTGTTCGGCGTGGGTTTGATCTGGGCGCAACTGGGAGTGTCAACCGTCTCGGTTGTAGTTTTCATTTTGCTCCTTGGTCCCGCTCAAACGTGGAATGCGAATTTCATTGAAAAATGGAGTGACAAGCAATTTGAGGTTATGGATACAAGGCTGGGACTAACGGTATGAGGCTTTTTCTGGACTTATTGTGATGACAAGGTTATCCTGACCATGTTTATTTCATCCATTTAGACCGAGATTATAAACGGCATGAAAATGATTAAAATGTACGCCTGGGAATCATTCTTTGTTCAAAAGGTACGAAGGGATCTCGCCTTTTTAGGAAACTTCCTCTTGTTTCTCATCCGGTACGGTCAGTTAAAAGACTTGCGCAAAACCGAACTTGGGCATCTTGGCATCCGCCGTGTTGGTGAAATCTTTGGTGTCCTTCTGGGCAACTTGCCTCCGGTCATCATGTTCCTTACCGCCCTTGGAATATCCACGGCTATCGAAAAAAAGCCTCTGGACGTTAACCGCATTTTCGTCACGCTGGCCTTGTTCAATCTGATGAAAGCCCCACTTGTTGAACTGTGTAAGTTACCCGGAAGCCCTATCGCCTTATCCGCAATGAGTTTTGACCTTCCTTCTGTTTCAAATTTTTAGCAATGTCTCTTCCTGGTGTTGCTGTCTCGTGGGCATGCGTGAAGCGGGTCGCTACTTTCATGAACGAGGAAGAGATTGAGAACTACATTGAGCCCAACGAGGAGCATGGAGCCATCAAAATCAAGTCCGGCGAGTTTACATGGGCAAAGAGTGCAACCGATAAGGGCGACACGGGGAAGGCCACGCTCACCGAAATGGAATTGGACATCAAATCGCGCGAGTTTGTCGGGGTGGTCGGCGCAGTAGGATCAGGGAAGTCTTCGCTACTCTCTGCGATACTTGGTCAAATGGAAAAGACCAGCGGGCTTGTTTTCGTGGGAGGATCTGTCCTTTACGTTTCGCAAAAGCCCTGGATCTACCAAGGGACCATCCGCGACAACATCTTGATCGGTCGCCCGTACGATGCCAACCGATACAACCTCGTCATTGAAGCTTGTGCCCTCTCCCGGGACTTAGAGCTCCTGGCTGCACACGATCAAACCGAAATTGGCGAGCGCGGTGTCAACCTCTCTGGTGGCCAGCGTCAGCGAGTCTCCCTGGCTCGTGCGGTCTACGGTGATGCAGACATATATCTTCTCGACGACGTGTTATCTGCTGTTGATCGCCATGTTGGAAAGCACATCTTTGATCGTGTTCTCGGACCTCAAGGCTTGTTGGCCACCAAAACCCGAGTGCTCTCCACCCATGCTGTACATGTCCTGAAGGACGCTGATCGCGTCCTGGTGCTTGGGGAAGGCAAGATCGTAGCCTCTGGGCCCTACGACGTCCTGATTGCGGACAGTAAGATCTCCGAGGCACTTTTCAATAGTCCCACAGCGGTTGTGGCAGCAACAGAGTCGACAGAAGGTGCAGTGGCAGAAGACGAAGCGGCCGATCCTGACAGCACAAGCGGAGGGGAGATTGGTGGGGAAAAGGCTAAGCTGATCGAAGAGGAGGAAACTGAGAATGGCAAAGTCAGCTGGGAAGTTGTGATGATGTACTTCCGCGCTTGCTCCTTCGCGCTGCTGGCGGCATTCTTTCTGGGACTCGTTGTTTCCGAGGGAGTCAATCTCGCCTCAAGATACTGGCTTTTGTACTGGAACGACAACCCCTCGTCCCACAGCCTGGGTTTCTATTTTGGGATTTATCTGGCCTGGGTCATTGGTTATGTCGTCCTTTATCCATGGGCTGGTTCCCTTTTCTTGTGCTTCATGGGTGTCCGTGCTGGTCGCGTGCTACATAACGACCTCCTCTCCCGGATCATGAAGATGCCTTGGTTGTTTTTCTCTGTCACGCCGGTTGGACGAATCATGACCCGTTTCAGTTCTAACCTTGCGTCTGTGGACGTGGGTCTTCCGGATGCCTTTTACGATATGATTTTCGCGCTGGCGAAATGTTATTGTCAACATTCTTCCGACAATTATAAGCCTTCCGTCATTCCTCATCGTTGTTCTGGTCGCCGGTAGGGTTCTCTGTCTGAACTGGGAAAGCTGATGCTTTGACCTGCGCGCGCGCAGAACCTAAATGATCGTGGCTTTCTTTTTGCTCTTCTCCATAGGAATAATTTGCTACATTGTCATGCACCAGTACATTCCCGCGTCTGTCGCGTACCTCCGAATCAAGTCTACGAGCGACTCCTTCATATGTC